AGGTTTTTTTTTTTTTTTTTTTTTTTTTTTTTAACACCTAGTCAGTTGCCACATCCTGTCACTTATACCTTCAGGAGATACTACCTGTCTGTCCTTTTCATTCCTACTAAATTGCCCTAATTCTTGTTCTTCTGTGAAATAATACAGTGGCGTGTCTACTTACCCTTTTTTTTTCTCTTCACTGTGACTAGAATTATTTTCCTAAAGCAGAGGTCTTATTAGGTCTGCTCTCCTTGGAAATGTGTACATTCATTATGCATTGCCTATTTAGTAATGTGACAATGTGGGGCCTTACATGATTTGACCTCAGATTGCCTTAATTATTTTTTAATAGACTTTTTTAGAGCAGTTTCAGATTTATAGAAAAATTGAGCAGAAAGTATAGAGTCCTCATATACTTACCTCCTAGACTCTTTTTAGTGCTATCCTCTAATGTGCCATTTGCTCCAGCTGAAGCCATCTACTAACTAACATCCAACCCTATTGAGACCACCACCCCTATGCCTTTTATCAGTCTTTGAATGGAGTCAAGAGAGACTGTGTGTGTGGTCATAATGCCTGGCTTCCTTAGGTTATCCTCACCTCCTTCAGTGGGTCAAGATGAACCTCTTATGCTAGATAAATTAATTTCCTATTGCTGTGTAACAAATTACTACAAACTTCGCAGCTTGAAAAAACACACATTTATTCTTTCACAGTTTCTGTGGATCAGTAACTGGGTCACTTGCTCAGGGTTTCATGAGGCTATGATCAAGGTGTTATCTGGGCTGTATTCTCAGCTAGAGGCTTGATTGGGGAAGAATCTGCTTCCAAGCTTATTCAGGTTCTTGACAGAATTAATATCTTTCTGATTGTATGACTGAGAGCCCTGGCTTTTTGCTGGCTATCAGCTGGAGACTGCCCTCAGTTCATAGATGCCATCCACAGTTCCTTGCCACGTGACCTTCTCCCACATGGTCACTTCATCAAGTCTGCAGAGTGTCTGTCACTCTAGTCTGCTAAGATGAAGTCTTATATAATGTAACGTAATCAAGAGAATGACATCTCATCACTTATACTGTATTTTGTTGGCTAGAAACAAGTCATGGACTTGCATACACTCAAGGAGAGGGTATTCTTTTTTTTTAAAATATATCTTTATTGATTTCAGAGAGAGGAAGGGAGAGGGAGAGACAGAGAGAAACATCAATGATGAGAGAGTCATTGATCGAGCCCACAACCCGGGCATGTCCCCTGACCAGGAATCGTACCCCAATCGCCTGGATCCTAGGTCGACGCTCAACCACTGAGCCAGGCCTGGCTGGGCAAGGAGAGGGTATTC